CTCATATAAAAGTGTTAGTATTCTCTGAATTTTTATTTTTTAAATAACCCAAAAACTATTTAAAGGAATTTAAGCAGTTCCATCTAATGATAGAACTGCAAGTAAGAAGAGGACTTTTACGTAGTGTTTGAATTGACTATCAAATCCATGTCCTTTTACAATAGTAATTTGTATCCACTCATAAAAAGTTGTTCCTGATACCCTAGCCTTCCTAAGAATGACAAATGAACACCCTCCATCTAGAAAGACTGCTAATTGAAAGAAAAAAAAAATGCACAAAATTAAAGGTTAGTTTTTCTCTTACTATTAAAGACTGACCCAAATTATAGAGGTACTCATAGCTTGGGAGGTTGTAGCCAACGATGTAATGGGTTTTCCACCCGCCAAAGAGAGGGAAGCGAGGCCGGATTTCCATCTCTACAGAGTCATCCAAAATAAGGAGGTGACTGGTAGAAACATTGCCAATCTCATCCCGGTAATAAACATCCTGGGCAGCAGCAGGAAGGATGGTCTGCAACAGAGTAGATATGCCCTTCTAAAACTTCAGGAACCTGCTCAGAGGAAATGATCCTAAACACAGAAGACTTTCTGCCACAAGATCTTCATATGTAGTACTTAATTAAAGTAGTCCCCAAACATAAACAACCTAAATAAGCCTAACTTTCACATAAAGATTTCAAAATTTCTAGAAATTGTGTCAACTTCTCAATCAAGGGTGCTAAGTACCCAAATTCTTCTAAACAGTAAATAATTTAGGGAATTGCAAATAACTTTGTGAACACTGAAGACATGATACAAAGGTAAACATAATCTTGGAAGTTATTTTGCAGAGAAAAAAACTAAAGATGGAAGATGGAAGAAATTTCATCGAATTACTAGGTGGTAGGGTTACGGAAAGGGTTTGTCTACCTGATATTCTTTATTGTATCTTCCAAATCTGTCAGTGTATTCTGATCATGGGGGGACCGGATAATACTTGGTTCACATACTGAACCCTTCTATCATACATAAGTACAAAAAAAGTTTACAAGATTTCATTTATAAAACAAAAAAGATTTTAAAACTGTATATGCAATACGATAAAACGTTTTTTAAAAATACTACAAAAGAACAAAGAAATAGATCAAAATGTTCGTTGTGTTTGGGTGATGGTACTGTGAGTGTGAGTATGCTTTTCCTTTTTCTATTCAAATTTTCATTTTAAAAATATGGTTTAAATAAAAATATTAAAAAATTAAAAATTAGGCCAGGCGCGGTGGCTCAAGCCTGTAATCCCAGCACTTTGGGAGGCCAAGGCAGGTGGATCACGAGGTCAAGAGATCAAGACCATCCTGGTCAACATGGTGAAACCCCGTCTCTACTAAAAATACAAAAAATTAGCTGGGCATGGT